CACAGGCACGCGCGCGCACACACACACACGCGGCTGAGTAGACAGTGCTCTGGGGTCGTAGTCCGAATGGCCCGGGCTCCATCCCGGGCCATTCGGAATGACCAAGTGACCGGGTTAAGAAAAAGGGGGAGGCCAGTATACAGAAAATGATAAAGAAATGTGTGAGGAGCACAATGCCAGCTGCCATGGAGTGTTCACTACTGAGCCTGAACAACTCCCCGAGCTATAATGAGGAAGCAGCCTCTGATGAGACACTACTAAATATTGAGGTAACAGCAGAGGAAGAACACAGCTAGTATCACTGGATGTAGCTACAGCTACTGGGACTGACAGAGTATCACCATGGGTGTTAACAGAAGCAGCACAGGCCCTCAGCATACCTCTGGCAATAATCTATAATGAGTCACTTACACAGGGGGTATTGCCCAACTGCTGGAAGAAGGCAAATGTGGTGCATGTAATTACAAAGCATGTAATAGCCTATTGTTATCCATTCATCGACTTGTTCATCTCATTCTCGTCCTGTACCACCTCACCCCCAAGAGAATGTAAGCTCTTGCTAAAGCATTGTAAATTTGTCTTTGAAGATGTAAGGAGTACCTTGTGAAACGCCTCCCTACGCGTCTCACTATATATTATATATTATATATAATATAATATTATTACAGCGTCAAACCACGGAGGAAGAACTGAAACAGGAATTTCCTTAATACTTTCGTACTTAAGGAAAATTTTCTTTTCCGAGGCTATGGGTCCCCACATTTCCACCAGATGTGGCACCCTCACAACTTTATTTATATTATATATATAAGTTGTGAGGGTACCACATCTGGTGGAAATGTGGGGACCCATAGCCTCGGAGAAGAAAATAAGAAGTACTCAGAGAAGACCTTGTGGATTCTCACTGAACACTTTAATATTTTCTTCTCCTACCACCCCCATTCTTTTGTATATACACATACATGTTCGTTTATTTAAAATTTGTTACAAAAAAGGAGTTACATATGGATTACAAAGATGATTATCATAAGTTGTCGAGTTCCTCCAGCTCCTCAGATGGCGGGCAGGAACCCTGAATGCATTGAGCATTTTCCCCTCTGTATCGCCACACTGAGGCGCTGGAAAAGGAAGCTGGCAGCTCTAGGGTCTCTTTTTGTTTCAATTAGCCTAGAACCCAGTTCCTTCAAAAAAAACTGGTGGCACTCTTACCCCCAGGCGCCGAGTGTCTCAGAAGCAATGGGGACAAAACTGTAGTGGTGATCCAGCTCTCTGTACTTACGGGATTTGGCTGATTCCCTGTGAGTGGCAGTGCTACCCGATTGTGCAACACTGAAGTCAATGTAGGTATTAGCCAGGGTTGATATGCATGTGAAGTCCAACACCAACTGCTTGCCATTCTTCCAGGGGTCCACTGTGATACCTTCTGGGCGACCAATAAGAGTATCAGAGTTACGGGGCGTTAGGTAACGGGGGTTCTCTCTCGGCTGGGCATCCAGCTGTGGTGAGGCTCCTCTTGATGTCGTTAACTTCACTATGCCTTGAGTGCCATCCCCTGTGCTTTGGCAGAGTAGGCCATGGTGGCCGTACCTGTCAGCCACCACCTTGCCGCAAATATACCTATGTATATGGTGTGGATTGGGGCAGCAAGGCGGAGGGCCACAGCAATTCGGAGGGCGTGTGGTGCGAGACGCGTGCCAGTTGCCGACATTGGGGTTGCTAACTGGAAATTCCCTGCATGTGGTGCTGTGAGGCGAGCAATGTCGTGTTGTGTTGTTGCAGCACCCAGGCACTCTGCAGCAACTTGGTCTACAATGGGGCCATCTCAGCTGGATTGCTTGTGGGCTTTTGAGGGTGGTAGTTGAGGTGATGGGCCTGCACGAGAGGCCCACTCTGTGGCACAGCGTGTAAAATTGGGATCGCACGCCTGCCAGCTGATATAAGTAGGCAGGTAGAATTTCCTTCACAAGGTCGTCGGATGCCGAGGACTGGAAGGCTGGTACAGCAATTTGCGATGCTGTTCTAACTCCGAGGCCCCCAAGTCTTACTGGAAGAGAGGCTTGTTTCCACTGTACGTCATCAAGAGAGAGGTTGAAGGCTTTTTCTAGCAATGATTTCAGTAACCGGTCATACTCGCCTAGTTTTTAGCTACTGTAGGATGGTGAACACCTCAGAAAGTAGGTTAACCTGGGGAGGGACAGACATCTGGTGATGAGGTAGAGTGCATCATGAGCATCAATATCCTCAATCCTCCCATCCATCCTCTTAAGGTCGGCGATTTTTTTATCAAGGACCTCATCGATGGCTTTCAACCCCAGGGGAGCTGCTAGGAGTGTGCTGTCTTCAGGTTTAGTTTAGTGGATATTTAGCAGAAGACCCTCTATTCTCTCTATGATGCTCTGGTTGGAACATATTATTTCGCACTTAGAAGGGATCAGGGCGAGGCTTAAAACTGCACCTTGCTCCTGGATTTTTCTGATGTCCTCCAGGAGGGAGTCTTGGGAACCAGCTAGGGTACCATCATCCAAGAACCAGATGTTAAGCTCGCTGGACAGGACCTCTGTGATGTGTTTGATGGTTTGATGACTAAGCAGAAAAGGAGAGGAGGAAGGGGGTCACCCTGTTGGACGCCTTCTCGCGAGTCAATTTCATATTCGCCAAAAAAAGCAACTTTAGATCATACTGTAGCATGAATGCACAAAAGGGTAGAGGGAAGGGAAATGACTATGAACCGCACGGAGTACAGCATCCCTCCACACCAAATTGAAGGCATTTTTGAAATCTAGCTTGATAAGGGCCTTTTCGTCTGTGATGTTGGCAACGAAAGCTCGAGTTGTGTGAGCTGCCGCCTCGCACCCTTGTGGAATGCCGAACCCGAGCTGTTTTGGCTTCAGCATGTTGGCCGCTGCATCACTAACTGTTCTTGCAGCAGCTTTGTGACGAGACGCCGGAGGGAATTGCCCACAGCTATTGGTCTGATCCCTCCATCCTTAGAGCACTCAGAGAGATGCTCCAAAAAAGATAGGTCTTATGTTCACTGGGGGACAGGGACACACACTCGAACACTATATCTTGGATTGTAGTAAAATTGAGCCATTTAGAGATAAATCTAAGCTCACTCTGTATGATATGGCAACCTATCTTATTACCATGGATAAATTACCTGAAATCCTTGCACTGTACCCACATTTTGCTTCCAGTAGATGAACGACATATGAGATTCAGAAACAAGTAGTGTATTGTGAGGACTAATAATAAACAGAAGCTCCCCTATGACTCTGTAATATCCCCATTGGTCAAACTATTATGTATTAGCGATAAGACCTACCATTAATGTATAATGACTTACTGTAAATATATAGCTCTTGTAATAGCACTTTCTCTGTAACTAGCTGACATTGTAACTATAAGGTGTGAAGGATAGATAAAATTGTTTATGTAATAATCTAAGATGAGGTCTGATAAAGACCTTTTGTGCCATCTGTAATGCTTTTTGCGCTACCGCTCACAGGATGGGTATGGGGTGCACAATAAACTAGCCGCCTCCGGCGGCAACAATCAAAATGGTATGTTGCCAGCTAAACATGTGTTGGTGAACCTGGTTAGTTCCACCAGGAGGCCCTGTGCAATGTTCCCCAGTGCAGGGTTGAGCATTTGTCTGATGTGTTTGGGTTTAGTCCTGTGAACCCACCTGCTGATCCTGTTGGGAAGGGCAAGGCTGTTCTATGGACCACAGATTCAGCCACCCAGAGAGGTTCTGCTCCAGTAGCCCCCACTTGAAGAATGTCGTCCTCACTTGGAGCCCTGGGTGGGTGTTTCTCCCTTAGGGCTTGAGCTGTTGTGGCATCTCTGTCAGTCCTCACTGGTGATGACTTATTGCGCCTATAGTTTTTCCTTCTATTTTCTTGGTGACTGATGTTCTGGTTTTCAATGTCTGGGATACGACACTGTTGCTCTTCCTGCCGTGGGTGTTTCTCGCGCGAGTGGGAAGGCGCACCAGGTTGTCCTCCCTGGGAAAATCATTTATAGCTTTGATGACTGAGGCAGCTAAGGTTTTGTCTCTCCTTGCAGGGGTGGCTAGACATATGTTGCCAAACATTAGGAGGTTGTGCCATGCTTGGGTCGTTCCAGGAGAGTCGTTGACCTTCCTCAGGAGGGCAGATAATTTGGCTGCTGCATGGGGGCGGGCTGCTTTAGGGATGTGTGGCAAGGTTCTGGCCGATGTTGCTTTGATAGCTTCTAATAAATTATCTGTGGAAATGAAGCTCTGGCAGGTGTTTTACCTGACGGACGGTGTGTGGGGTGTTGACTGGTGTTCTCCCTGGGAGCGCACGGAGCACCCATACACCTGGCTCCGTTGTGGTAATGAATGCATACATGACCGTCACTCGACCGGATATAGAGTACCCTGTCACACACCTGACATCTGCCTTGTCTACCCCTGCATGATGGCTCATCTTGGCTTGGAGGAGCCTGGCTGTCTGTTGTGAGCTGTGACATGGGCGGGCGCTGAGCGGGAGGGTTGACGACGGGTGGAGGCTGGAGGGAGGGTCAGCTGGCCATGGCACTTACCACTCAGATGAGTGGTAATACATATACCCCCTATACACAATGGGTGGGTATACACCCACTATATATATATATATATATATATATATATATATATATATATATATATATATATATATATATATATATATATATATATATATATATATTAATGATTAATTGAATATTCTGTATCGATTATTTTCTTGTTTAGGGCTTGTATCCCTGTGACTAGTGCTCTTGTACTGGACGACATCCTAACAGATTATCCTAACGTTGCTTGTTTTTATTCAAGAATGAAGAACAATTTGTGTATGACTGTGCGTCTCACGCCAGAGTAGACACGACCACAACCTCACTATAACAACACATAATTATAAGTTAATTTAGTCACTAAAGATGTTAATTGTACATAATACACAAGGAGTGTAAAGGCTAGAGGCACACACACAGACCTGGAGACGGCGTAGATGTGGTGAGCGTTGGCCTTGACCCGTAGGGTAGCGAGGGGGTCATCGGTGACCACCTCCTTCACGGGGGGCGTGGGGGTCGGGCCCCGGGTCACCAACCACTTGAGCATGGCCCTTGAGCGCCGCCTCTCACAACCTGTAGGAGACAAGCGTCAATCACGTCCTGTACCACCTCACCCCCAAGAGAATTTAAGCTCTTGCTAAAGCATTGTAAATCTGTCTTTGAAAATGTAAGGAGTGCCTTGTGAAACGCTTCTAGGCATCAGAACATAAATATTATGTGAAAATGAACTTTGGAGAGTTAATTTTTCAACTATCCTCGACAGTTAAGAAAAATATAAGAAATATTGAGAAGATTCGTGTTAGAATCATTAATCTTACACTTTCGGTCATATTCAACAACATATGTTTACAAGAAAGACTGCTACCAAAATATACTATTATATATATATATTATATATTATATATATATATATATATATATATATATATATATATATATATATATATATATATATATATATATATATATATATATATATGTGTGTGTGTATATCACGAAAATAAACACGTGATTAAGAATGTGACAATGTCAGACCACGGAGGAAAATGAAACAGGAATTTCCTTAAGTACTTTCGTATATTAAATACATCTTCAGAAGGAATTCCTTCTGAAGATGTATTTAATATACGAAAGTACTTAAGGAAATTCCTGTTTCATTTCCTCCGTGGTCTGACATTGTCATATATATATATATATATATATATATATATATATATATATATATATATATATATATATATATATATATATATATATATATACATAAACTCCTCACCTCTGAAGGATTCGACCCCCGACAGCCAGGGGCTCTACGCACCTTAGCGTGTCCAGTACTGTGAGCCATAGGCCACAACGACTGTTAAAAAGAATTGGAGGTCATCAGACCCCTAACCCAACTGCCAGCAGCACTCGGTGACCTTTTGGGCCACAGATATTTCATCGGATCACCTCACATGCAGGAGCCTGGTGGTCCGGTGTGAGTGTGTGAAGACCCTGGAGTGGTCCCCAAGCCAACATGCAACAGATAACTCCTCACCCCAGAATTTTCTTAGTCTGAGGACTTTCTCAGGTCTTTCTAAGGTCTTTCTCCGGTCTTTCTAAGGTCTTCCTCAGGTCTCAGGTCGTAGAGGAGGTATATTTTACTCTCTCAGGTTTTAGACCATACTCGTCATTAATGATCCATTTTGGCGGGAATATTGATGGGGGCGCCGCGGCGGCCAGCCCGAGACCTCAGTAATGGCGGGCCGACGCGCCGCCTCCGCCGCCCTGATAGCCTTACACGGCCTCACCCACTTATCTGCGCCTTACCAACCCGTTTATATCTAAAATCCGTCGCCTGGGACATCATAATTCGCCATTTTGTCCCATATATTACTAGGCCCTGCCACGTATAATAAATGTCTGGCATCAAAGTACCGAGGTCGCAGCCCCGAACAAGTGAGCATCTCGGTTAATATATAAATATGGAGTTCGATTCTACGTCGAGGAACCTAACCTCTATTTTTTAAAGTGTTCTCTGACCTGCTTGGAAATAAATTACGACCTGATCAGGAGGATCTGATAGTCCCTAAGACGCGACTTAAAAGGGTCGAATTGCTCATTTGTCATCTCGTGAGCTTGATCCTCCATACAAGGGATCGAGTAGGCTAACCTGAGGATCTATAGATCATATAACATCCACCAACGTGTTTTCAAGGCCCTTATAGTTTGCGACTGATACAAGAACATAAACAATGGAACTGGGGGAGAGAGCGGGACATGGGGGGGGGGGTCCTTTGACCATGTCGAGGCCTGGTTGTCTGGGAACACCCACCGTGTAGGTTCGAATCCTCCCACGGATTTTATTATTGATGCACCACATTAGTGTGATTAATCTGTGTAATAATAATAGCAATAATTAATCCGTTGGTGAAGTGCTTGTTCTTATTAATAAGTTCAGGTATAATATTCATGTGCTGCTATACTGTCTTCTGTGTGAAGGATAACACAGTGTAGATCAAAGACTATAACTCTTATATCATCTAATATGATGATCTTAGATCATGTAATATGATGATCTTAGATCATGTAATATGATGATCTTAGATCATGTAATATGATGATCTTAGATCATGTAATATGATGATCTTAGATCATGTAATATGAAGCTGTAACATCTCACAGGATGTTAGTCATACAGGGAGTGAGGAGAGAACACGGCCAGCCAGGCTGACCTATCAGTCTCCACCACCAACCTCTGGGTAGACGCACACCAATATCTTCCAATATTCCTGAGTGTATGAGGTAGTTACA